CCGGGGGATATGATGAACCCACTTTACAGATGTGGAAACTGAGGCTCAGCCAGTGAGGCTCCACCCACCCCCAGCCACAGAGCCAGTCTCTGCCTCCCCAGACCATTCTTTGAAACAACTTCCAGAAGCCACAGGGAGAAAACAAAGCGTTTATTTTTGCCCAAACTGTTCCCCCTCCCTGAATTGCCTGAGAGGTGTTTGTCTGGAGGTGTGGGTGACTCACGCAGGCGCTCAGAGATGGAACCGGTTATTTTTGCCTCAGACTCTGGCAGCCCGTGGGCAGTGTCCCCATAGGGTGCACGGGTGGCCCAGGCTGACCCACTGCGGGAGGGAGATGGGGTGGCAGAGTCAGCGTGCCCTGGCTCATAAGCAAGCCCCCCGCCCCCCTACCCGGGTCCTGAAAACAAGCCCCCAGGCCCAAAAGGCAGGCTCTAAGTTCGCTGGGGGTGCTTGTTGCCTGCTGAGTCCCCTGCCCTCCTGGGGGTGATGCTGGCTTCAGGCCGTCATCCAGGTCACCATCCCTATTGCCCCATTCTGCTGCATCTGAGCATGAGCCCCTTTCCCCCACCCACTGCAGGCTGCGTACCCCGGGATGACTCCCACGCTCTTCCCGATGTGCCTGAGCCTGGCCTTTGTGGGTACAGCTGCGGAACCCGCAAGTCCCAGGCTCTTGTAGTCCAGCGGCCACAGAACCGGAGATGAGAAGGGGTCTTCTGCCCTGGGCTCCCCGGGCTGCTCCCTCCCTGAAGAGGTTAAGGGAGTGGGCCTGCCAAGAATGAAGGGGTCATGGCCAGGGTCTCAGCAGAGCGGGGTCCCCACATCCTGGAACCAGGGCCATGGCCTTCTAACCCAAGCTGTTCTGGGACTCCAGGGCCTCAATTTGGAGAGGCTCTGTGGTGCTTTCAAGAGCCCCTTCCCTCCAGGGCCCCAAAGGGGGTGGGGAGTCATCCTGACTCTACCGACAGGAGGGAGACAAGCACATTGAGGCTGGACCCGGGGACAGATGCTACAGCTGCCAGCACGTTGGAGACTCGCCCGTGAGGACCGAGGGAACAGGAGAGGACCGTGACCTGGTGAGCTGGTGCCACACAGAGAGGGGCTCCAAGTCAGAGGCAGGCGGCCTGCAGGCCAGGGCAGAGCAGGGCAGGGCAGGCAGGGCCGGGGGCCCAGCACAGGATGGGGAGGAGGGAGAGCACCAAAGGAGGCCTGAGACCATAGGGGCCGTCCGAAGTTTTGGCAGGAGAGGAGACTATGAACAGCTTACCCTGGGTGCTCATAGGAGGCTGGTGAGCCCCGGCCAGGGCAGGGGTCCTCCAAGGAGGAGGCCGGCAGGGCTGGACCAGTGGCCTAGCAGGGTCTTGGGGACGCTGCCAGAGTCTCAGCCAGGAACAGTTAGCGCTTTCATCCCTGGTCCTCCCTTCACGCATCTCAGCGGCCAGTGTGTTCCTCCCACAGTCTGATAGTCATTCTCCGTGGTAAATAAGACACTTGTTCCCCTTCACAAAGCAGGCCACGTTTCTCCCTGGCAGCTGCCGCCTGGCTGGCCAGGCCACCGAGCAGCCTGGTCACCACGGTCAGCCTCGGCCGGTGGCCAGACACAGCTGAGTACTTTCTCCACCTTCCTGCATGGGCTGCTGTACCCGGTCAGCTCCCAGGGACTGCCAGTCACCCAGCCAGCCAGCCAGCCTTGATCGACTGAGCCCTGCTCCAGATGCTGGGGGCTCAGCAGTGAGGAGGACTGACAAAGCTGTGCCCCAGAGGAGCTCCTGGCCCTGTGGGGAGGACAGCAGGTAAACAAGTAGCTAAAAGACCCAGGATAATGTCGCTACCGGGATAAATGGCACAGGGCAGGAAACGAGGCCCCAGGGGGCAGGGAACACAGACTGTGCGAGACAGGAGTGCAGGGAGAATTACAGACAAGGTCACAGGGGTGGTCTTGGAGCCCAGTTGGTGGGACTTCGTGGACCATGAAGTGGGCTTTAGGGAAAGGCCCAGACCTGTCACGGCACCAAGTCCCAGCACCGTGCTGGGCACATTCACTCACAGGCTCTCTGGAGCTGACACGGGCTTGTTAGCCACCTTGTGCATGGGGGGGAACTGAGGCTCGGGGAGGCACCTGCACACTTCCTTGCCGCTCACATCCACTGGCCACGGCTCCTCCTCTCCCAGCAGACCAGCCCTCAGACATGTCCCCTTCCAGGACCCCCGTGGCTCAGAGGACCCTTTCCGCACCCTCCCAGTGCATTGGCCCCAGCCCCCGTCTGCTGCCGCTCTGAAGGTCCCTCCCAGGAGGGGACCCTGCAGCTGGACCTCCAAGGGGGACAGGAGAAGGGTGTCCTGAAACAGGGGAGACAGTGAACAGCCGGACTTCGAGGCAGCAGTGTGGATAGCATGTCTGGGGCACGGCAAGCAAGCAGATGGGTCTGGCGTCATCTTGCTAATTTTGTGTGTGTGTGTGAAATCAACTCATTTATTTATTTTAAATCAACTCATTTATTAAAATATTTTTAAATCAACTCATTTATTAAAATGAATATATTTGGGGATGTAGTTTTATGCTCCTACCTAAATCACCAGCATCACTTCCCAAAAATAGAAAGTGACTGTAAAAATTCATGTAACAGGGGCGCCTGGGTGGCTCAGTCTTTAAGCATCTGCCTTCGGCTCAGGTCATGACCCCGGAGTCCTGGGATCAAGTCCCGCCATCCGGCTCCCTGCTTGGCAGGGACCCTCCTTCTCCTTCTCCCTCTGCCCCTCCCCATCCCGTGGGCTTGTGCACGTGCTCTTTCTCTCTCTCAAATAAATACAATATCTTAAAAAGACTTTTTAAAAAATTCATGTAACAAAACAAGTATTAATTTTTAAAAAGAATAAAAGTACAGAATAGAATATAAGCCCCAGTGTTCCGGTTCTAGGTCAGTTCCACTCTACCTCTCCCACTGAGCACAGCTTAAAATCTGACTGAAGGCACAGAGCAGCTCTCTGGGGACTTAGGAAGCTAAGTCATTGCAGGCAGCCTGGGGAAGAGAAGCAGAATTTGAGGCACCACCAAACTGATAGTGGGTTTACCATTTTCCCTCTGCGGGAGATCCCCCTGCCAGAAACCACAGAGGGACCTTTGCGCCCCGAGAGAGAGCTGCGGGGCAGAACCTCTGCTTCTGGTTCAAAGAGCAGGAAAGGGGTCTCTTACGACTCAGACAGAATCTGGAAATATGCATTTTTAAAATGTGCATTTTCTCCCACTTTTTCAGACTCCAGCCCAGACAGTCCAGGGGAGCCTTGACTGGGCCCTACAAGAGCCTCCCCCCTAAATGAGGGAGAACTTCCTCTCCCAGCAGAGGAGCTGTTGTCCCCCAGGAGGCACAAGGAACTGCTGCTTTTCTCCCTTCTCTCTCTCTCTCTCTTTCTCTGTCCTCCTACACCTGGATGCAGGCATAGTATTGGGGTGTGCACAGCAGAATAGAGTGAATTAAGCCCCAGCTTTCTGGCTGGCTGACCCAAAAGAGGAGCCCCAGGAAACTGAAAAATACCACAGGGATACGGTACTATGGAGGGGTTGTGCTCAGGAAAGCAAGGGCCTGATGTTGTTTATGACCTCAAATCATAGAAGGCGGGGTGCCTGGGTGGCTCCGTCGTTAAGCATCTGCCTTCAGCTCAGGTCCTAATCCCAGAGTCCTGGGATTGGGGAGCCAGCTTCCCCCTCTCTCTGCCTGCCTCTCTGCCTACTTGTGATCTCTATCTGTCAAATAAATAAGTAAAATCTTTAAAAAAAAAAATCATAGAAGGCAAGCATATATACAAGAATACATAATACAAATTTAATCAAGAATATATAATTATATAATTACTGTATTTTATATAACATATAAAATTTTTAATCAAAGCATACGAACAGCAGCAGAAGAATCTCCGAACACTTAGACATTAGACAGCACGTGTCTAAATAAATACTCCACAGAGAAAAGAGGAAGTCTAAGGGCGAATTTGAAAACATTTTGAACAGAATGAGAATGAAAACATTACATGTGAATGTGAGAATTTGTGGCATGAGCCTAAAACAGTCCTTAGAAGAAACCGATAGCATCCAATTCTCGTATTAGGAAGGGAGAAAGGTCTTAAATGAATAATTACAGATTTTGCCTTAAGAAGCTAGGGAAAAAAAGAGCAAAGTCAACCCAAAGCAGGTGGAAGGAAGGAAGTAATAAAGATAAATGTCAAAATCAATGGCATTAAAAACACATCGGGGTCATGGGTTGGAAAACTATCAACTCTCCCCAAATTCATCTACACGTTTACTGCAGTTCCGTTCAAAGTCCCAGCAGGGGTTTTTGGTAGATAGAGACAAGGTCATTCTGAAGCGTATACCGAAAGGCAGAGGACTCAGAATACCTTAAAACACCAACATGGGAATAGCAATAAACGTAAATCAGCTTGTGACCATCCATGCCTGTAACAGGGCACCACTGATCAAATGTCACTTCTGAGAGGCCGTCTGGCTGTGGTGCTCAGGGTGGCACAGAGGGGATCCTAGTCAGGACAAGGGTTCCATCATCTGGCTCTGGGGACCTTCGGAGCTGGTGGCCAGTGTTTGGGCATGGAACACAAATATCTCCTCGCTGGGCCTCCATATATCTCCACTTATCTCCTCCAAATATCTCCACTTCCTGGCCCAACCCAATCCTCACCTGGCACTTGGAAAGACTCGGGGGTGGGCTCCCAGCCTCTGAGTGGGGCCTCCAGGTGGCTACAGCAAACACACTATCAAGATGTTCAGACGGGGGTGGGGGGAGCGAGAGCGGAGGCCAGGCTGCGGGAGACTTTGGACAGTCCCTGTGCCCCTGTGCAGACCAGAGCCAGACAGCCCCCCTGTGGGGTCTTCCCACCTCAGTCCTGCAAGGCCCAGAGAGAGAAAGTGAGATGTCCAGGGTCACACAACAGTGACAGGCACTCAGGGTCATGCACGCATTTGCCCACTGGGATGTGTTTCAGACGTGTTTTGGGGGACCCACCAAGCACAGTCCAGATGGATATGATCTTGTGGGGAGACAGAAGGATGAAGGAAGCTAACAGATGTGAGAACCTCAGGAGGGGCAATGATGTGAGAAGACCTCCCTGCTGATGTGATACGGAGGGGCAGCCAAAGGACAGTCTGCATGACGTGAGCTGAACGGGTCACTTCCCAGCCAGGTGGGCACCCACAGTGTAATTCCGGGCTCACGTCGTCTGCCTGGAGACAGGGTCAGACCCCATGGGTTAGGGGCTCCCTCCATCCCTCAAGACTTCCCCCAACCCCCGCCACCCCAGTGGCTAGTCACAAGTCTGGCTTGTCTCCCGTGCTTCTGGTAGACTGACTGTACATCACAGGTTCCCCTGACACCCTACTCGGGTTCAATTAATTTGATAGAGTGGCTCCCAGGACTCAGAGAAACATTTATTTATATTTGCCCCTTTATTATAAGAGTATGGGAAGGATGCCAGTGAGCAGCAAGATGGAAGGGTATACAGGGCAAGGTCTGGGGAAAGTCAGGCAGCTTCCTTGCTCTGTCCAAGTACCTGACTCTCCCAGCCTCTGCATGTTCACCAGTCTGGAGGCTCTCGGAACCCTGTCCTTCTGGACTTTTGGGGGGCAGAGGTGGGGGGCTTCATTATGTAGGGATGATTCTTTAAATCATTGGCCACTGGCAGTTGGTTCAACCTCCAGACCCTCTCCCCTCCCCCAGAGAACAGCAGGCGGGACTGAAAGTTCCAACCTTCCAATCACACGGTTGTCCATCCCCACCCCCGGTGAACACAGCCCTCCTACGTCCTTCCACAGGTTTCAAAAGTCTCGTTAACATAAACCAGGTGTGGTTGAAAGGGGTTTCTTATCACTACCTCAACACCTGTATCCCAACCCCTCATCCCATTCAGATGGTTTTAGGAACACTGTGCCAGGAACAGGGACGAATATATTGCTTATTAGAAATGACCCTATCATGGAGGGTCCTCTCCGTGAGATGTGTCCCAGTAAGCTCCAAATGATGGGGAGTCAGCCAGGTGAAGTGAGGGAAGGAAGCTCCTGGCAGGTTGTGTTCTGAGCTGAGCCAAATGGAGGAGGCTGGAGGGGAGGCTGGAGGAATCCTGCCCTCCCGCTGCTCTTTGGAATCCTGGCAATTCCCCCACGCTCTGGGGAGCTTAGACCTGGGTCTGTACGGACATCTGCCCTCCTGGGCTGCCTCCAAGGCACTGAAGTCTGGGAAGCTAGGATCAGACACTTGGTGTCAGAAGCCTCTCAGATGCCTGTGGCCCCATGAGGGCCATGCAGGTGAAGCACTGTTCAGCGCCCCCCCCCCCCACCGGGTTCGCTCTACCCCTCCCTCCCTGCAGCCCCTCCCTCTCCCTCAAGCCTGGGAGAGTTCCCTTTCTCTGCCTCTCTGCTCTCTTCTGCCACTTCCTTCCAGGGGTTCAGTTCACCAGGTAGGGGTGGGGGGTGGGGGGTGGGGCGAGGGGGGTGCAGACTGGGAAGGGGACCCTGTGGGGAAACCGGTTACTCTCTTAAGTGATGCCCCTCCTCCTTTCAGTATCCTCGACTTTCCAGGGGAGGGGATCGAACTGGCAGGTCCTTAAGCTATGGGTGGATTATTGCTGCCCTTTCTGAAAAAGATATTCCACCTTTGTGCTCCTAGCTAGAGGTTAAGTTTCTATTTGTCGGCTTTAAAGGCGTTTTCAAAAGCTTTCCTAGCGCTGTGTCATGGGTGACAGGCATCTTGTATATGGCTTATCTGCAGTAGGGAGGCAGGCTGAGCTGGATGATGGGGGAGATGCTGGAACTGTATTAGGATGGGAATCAGCAGGAGGGTCTTTCCCTGGAGGTTCTGCTCCAGGGGGCCAGGTGAAGGGACCCCGGGGGTGGCCAGTGTGTGTCACCCACACACAGGACATCCTTCCCAGCATGGAGCCCACCCCTTGCACAGCCTGGAGAAAGAGGTCTCAGTCCACAGAACAACGTGCCCAGGTGTGTGGGAAGCAGGTGGTTGTCCAGCGACATGGAAGGACGTGATGTCCTGACTGGACCCCGGAGCCCTCACTGACCGCCCCCTTCTGTTCCTTGGGCTCAGGCAGCGCCAAACAGCTTCTTGCAGGCAGGACCTGAGAGGGGTGCTGAACGGAGCCACCTGCAGCTAGAGGGAACCTATAGGAGACACCTTGGAGTTAGCAAAGAGTCCGCTGGTACGTCCCTGCCACCTTCCGTGGGGTGAAAGAGACCACAGGTGGGCAGTCGTGAGCCATGCAGGCAGGAGTGTCATTGTAGTGATTTCTTTGGGCATCAAGATACTTTCCTCTTCTGGTGACACAGGCCCAGGACAAACTGACAAAAAAAAAAAAAAAGAGAGAGAGAGAGAGAGAAAGAAAGAAAAAAGAAAGAAAGAAAGAAAGAAAGAAAAAGAAAGAAAGAAAGAAAGAGAGAGAAAGAAAAAAGGAGAGGGGGTGGAATTTACTGTTTCACATACAAAAAAAGCCTACCTGTGGGGCTAACTTTGGGCTCAGCTGGATCTCAAACATTGTACTCAAATCTTTTCCTCCTGCCCCCTCTCAGGGCTGCTTACCTTGCAGGGGCAGGAAGGAGTCTTCCCAGCAGCTCAGACTTTCATCTGTTCAATCTCCTTTCCTGATGGGAAGAGAGAAACACTGAGACCTCCACTAAAATACAGTAATAGGACCCTTGTTAAATGCACACACACAGACAAAGAGAATAGGGTTAGCAGCAACAGCAAGAAACTGTAGGAAGCTGGACAGCAGGTTGGATGAGTAAGCAGTGATAGAGCAGCCTGAGAAGTCGGATTAAGTAAGGGGTTGGGGCTATAGCTCCTTTTCCCAGCCTCAGGATCAGAGTTCCTCCCCCAGGCAGCCCACCTGGATTTCCCCCACCATGGGAGTGACCAAGAGTGAGGGACCCTATGGGTTACTTCACAAGCCCTACCCTCTCCCTCAGAGTGTCCAACCCACTTCTTAGTCTCTATCTGACAGCCAAGGATTCCCAGACACCTGAGGAAGCCTTCCAACATGGCGTGTGTTGATCAAGACAGATGAGGGGAGAAAGGCAAATTGGGGCAAACCAGGGCAGCGCAGGAGAGAAGAAAATTTCTAATAAAACTAGGCTACTGATTATCCTCAGAGAGGTGAGAGAAGATTTTACATCTATGAGAAAAGAACAGAACTTCATACATTTAAAAAGAAACCTTCAAAGGAAAAAAATGCCTCCTAGAAATTAAAAACATAGCAACTGAAATAACCAATAGAAGGTTTGGAATACAATACTGAAAAACTGAGAGTGTAGAGTGAAATTTTTTTAATGGGAAACAGGAGAGAAAGGGTAAAAAATTGGAGGACAAGTCCAGGAGGTCCAACATGAGTACTAAGAGCCCCAAAAAAAGAAAAGAGAGGAAGTCTTCAGTGAAATCACTTAATTAAATGTCCCAGCATTGAAGGGCATGAGTTTCCCACAGAAGATGCTGCAAAGTACTCCACACAAGGGATGGAAATGACCCATAGCAAGGTGCATCGTTGTGAACATTCAGGACACTTAGGACTGGGGTGAGCAACCATCTCGGTTTGCTTGGGGCTGAGAGGTTTCTTAGGATATGAGTTTTCAGTGCTGCAACGAGGATGGTCCTGGGAAAACCAGAATGGCTGGTCACTCTACGAGGATCCAAAAACAAATACAAAGCCCTACAAAGCTCACAGAGAAGCCAGAAGATAATGCCTTCAAAAATCTGGAGAAAAGTGATTTCTAATTTAGAATCCTATACCCTGCTGAGCTTTCAATCATGTCAACAAGTGTGACAGTAAAGTGAGATCACATCCAACATGTAAGGTCTCAAAAATATTTTCCTAAGCATCTCTTCTCAAGAAGCTATTGGAGAACCTGCTCCATCAAAGTGAAATGAGGAGACAAGGTACAGAAAGAAGCAGACCCAACACAGGAGATGAGGAGGGAATCCCTTGGAGGATGAGGGAGCGCTCCCAGGATGGCACCTCTTCAACAGATGTGGAGAGAGCTGAGCCATCCCACAGCGGTGTGACCCCAGAGACAGCCAGGCATCACGAAGACCCCCCACTTCCATCGGGCCATCTTCTTTTTTTTTTTTTAATAAATTTTATTTTTTTTTAAACATATAATATATTTTTATCCCCAGGGGTACAGGTCTGTGAATCGCCAGGTTTACACATTTCACAGCACTCACCATAGCACATACCCTCCCCAATGTCCATAACCATCGGGCCATCTTCTTAAACCAAGGACAGAATGCCCAGGATGGCTTGGCCCAGATTCTCATGAGGACTTGGTTGGTCTTGACCACATGTTCCTGAGGGTCTCTCCCCTGATGCTCTGCTGAGCGCATGCGTGTCCCTCACAGAAGTTCTCAGCTTTTCCCTGAGAGTGGGAGGCAGCCCCTTCCCTCTGGCCGTACTTCTGCCGCATGTCCAGTGCCCGGTCCACACCTCAGTCTTGTTAAGTGCCCCAGCGTGAAGAGCCCTGTGTTGCCCAAGCCTCACTCATGACTTGCTTGCAACTTCCCCAAAGGGTCCTTGTAGCTTACCCACACCTCCCAGGGAAGGGGAAGTCAGACCACGACCTGACCCGGAGACGACTTCTTACCTCCTCCTGGAACCTCCGTCCAGCGTGTCTGCCCTCTGTTTTTCAAGACTAGGTGGTGTATTATCTGGGATAGATACACAGGTGGAACTATAATGAAAAGCAAGGAGATAATTAGCACAAAAGGATGGTCACCACCTAGAGCTGAGTGTTGAGAAGTCAGTTTGATTTGGGAAAGTGTATAAGGTACTGAGAGTGCTTTTAGGGTACTGATAATACTTTTTATGTTAGCTTGGGTATCAGTTCACAGATGTTTGTTTAGTTATAATAATAAAATTTATTATTATTTAAATTGTAGATGTGTTTATAGACTCTTTTGTGTTTAATTCTTCTAAAAGTGTAGAGAGGAAAAAGTATCAAGGGAACGTTTCTCTGGGGTGATCTCCCAACAAGATTCGGGATTTACTCTGATTGGATAACCTGGGTCCCTGGTCAGGGGCAGGAGGATGGGGTGCTGCACTGTCACTGGCCAGGACCCAGTTAGCCCCCACCCCCACTCTAATCAGGGTTCCAGCCAGTGGGGAGAAGGGGTTCCAGGAAGTCAGGAAGC